TTAGTACGCGTTTTCTTTTTAAGACGTCGACTGGCAGTTATTTCTCCACCATTCATTGCTTTCAGCTGGGCCATTAAAAATACATCTTGTTCGGATCTAGAGAGAGCTTGAAATGCTTCACGTAATTCAGCAAACCTTTCTCTTGGAATCTTTTTTGAACAACCACATTTGCAACCTATCTCCAAGAAACGTGTTGCTTTTTCGTATTCACATAAACCATTTTTGCTAACACCATGTCTGATATACACATACTCCTATATATAATTTTTATTGCCTTGCAAATTTTGTTGCGAAACTTCTGAATCAATCGCCACGGAAAAAACAATTCACCAACATATATACAGTATGTATGACTTAATATCCTATAACCCCGCCCGGCGAAGCATCATGCCCTGCCCAGCGCCTAGGCATACTCCATTTACAACATTGATTGTAGTCTTACTGTACATCCAATCGAACACGACGTACTGTAAAGATATCATATTTGAAATTTATTTTGCTGGCTTATCAAAAAAAACTCGCGTTCGAAAATAAGCATTACAGTCGCAAATTTTTTGTAATTTTTATAATAACCGAATGTGATCTGGAATATAGGCATAATTCTTCATAGAAACAACATATTAATATTATATAGTTCATTGAATTGATTACAAAAAGGAACTTTTATTAATTTTCCAATAGTAAACAAATTTATTTATTACTGCTTTCACCAAAGGTCTCCAAACTCTTTTGCATTCCACTCTTTTTTCATTTGGCTGATAAATGGAAAAGTGATCTTAATGTTGTTTTCAAATCCTATGATGCCCTGATTTTATTGTCTCTTGACCATGAAATTCAGGTAGAATGAATGATGCCGAAAGCAAACTACATGCACATGATCACTGTACATTTTCTCTCTTATGCTTCAACCATCAACATCACGCTCGCGTGTTTTTTTTAGTGGTGTAGTTGGGGTCGTCCCGAAACATCCACCCACTTCAAGTGTTTGCTTGTTGCCAGATATATTCTTCCTCTTGCGATGTGCTCGTGAATTTTCCAGAGCTATGTTGTTTACATGTTTCCGCATGATTTTGAAGGTTGCCTAAGGGTTAAATAAATATTCCAAAAAGTAAGAAATGATAGAGTTAAAGCAATCATTGATGTAGTTTGTATAAGCACCATGAGGTCCGACATAACAACAAAAAATTCTTCCAAGCACGGAAGTGTTATTGCTGTGTTTGGTAGCCTAGATCGATGAAGTCTTCCGAAACGCATTATATTAGTAGCTTTACAGTCCATTGCATATATCTCGTGAACCCAACCTTAGTGAGAGAAATATATGAAAGTGAATCATCAAGACAAGGATTTAAGGTTAATCATTAATTTAGTCATAATCATATATATATATATTTACCCCACGATTGCATCCCAACAACGAACGTTTTATGCAGCTGGTCATCTTGCGCCTTCGAATTTGACGCAAATAATCGGGAAATAATGTCACGAAGTGTTACTGCTAAGTCGATACGATCCTCAAAAATTTTTTTTCGATGGGCTTCGGGGAGTCCGCCACTACGTAAGCCGATCAGACATTCAAAATTGTTGATACTTTTTTTCATTAATGCCCGTAAATCACACTTCTGCCCGATGCGGGCACGGAGGAGAATAGATCGGCCAACATTGCGACGTTCAGCAGAAGCCCAGCATGCGATTTCACCACTAGCAAATTGCAAGAGGAAAAGTATGTACGTGTATAGCAAAAATGAAACCTCTGCAGTGCTAATACATACACGTCAATCTTCAGCTCTTCTGGATCCAGAAACCGCTTTGTCAGCATATTCGTAAATGCATTGTCAAAAGACGCTTCGGATACTGGAAGGTCAACGAAACGTAGATTCTCGGTACTGAATGATAATATAGCAGATATCATGAATTATATGAAAGCAAACATTACCTAACATTGCACATGAAGTTGCACTTACTATGATATAATCGCGCGTCGAATAGTTGCGACATCCTCTCGAGCCTTAATACTAAGATTAATATCATACGTATTTTCAATTAATTCGGGAGATATCTGTTCAATGGCCATAAGGATGTCATCTGTCCCACACTTCGTAATCTGAGAGGCATACAGATTGGCATCATAAGAGTCATATAAGATTTGTTAAGGCAAATTTATTGTCACCTGCCTTTTCCAACTCGTCAAAAAAATATAACACGCCTTCTGAAACCTCTGATTCCGTCAACTTCACTTCTTGCTCGAAGCTCGCTGTCATCTCTGTCCAATCATCCTCTGAAAAGAGGCATTTCGTCTCAGAATGGTCACCTGTCAGATCCAGGATATTCCAATATGCCGGGCTGTAAATACAAAAAAGAACTCAGAAGCAAATCGTTATCGGAAATACACGAAGATGTGGCAAATGAAGGCTCACTTCAGAAAATTTTCCTTATCTGGAATTGTTTTCTTGTACTCTGTTAAAACATCTCCAACGTTTGTTCCACTGGACAAAATCCATGACTTTCTTCGACATGATGTCTGTCGGCCTTCAATATTCTCTGCAAACTCGTCGCGAATCTCGTCAATCTCCACGTCAGCTTCACTTCTGGCTTTCAGTAAGGCACTGTCTGATAAAGCTGCGCAATTCTCTGACTCGGCGACATCACTGTCTCCACTAACACCTTTTTTAGTTGATTCGTTGCTGCCAATGCCCTCTCCTGCATTTACATTGTTGGCTTCTACTTGGTTTGCAATATTCTCAACAACTACAGAGTTGAAATCGGTATGTATGCTGACGTTGGTATTGTGAATCGAACGACCAACTGAAATCTAATAGAGATGAGTTGTAATTACTAACATCCAGAAGTCTCCAACTCAAAAGCGTGCGGTGATTGGACTTACTGCTTTTTTTTCTTTAAGCCATGTTTCCCAGTCATGCTGAAGAGTTTTCTCCTGTTGTGGTG